GCAAATAGGCAAGCCAAGTCTGTAAATAAAACCATCCTCTAAACGTTGAAGAAGAGATTGCAAAAGGCAAAGTGAGCTTGGGCAGATGAGCTCACTGGGATGTTATGGTCCTACTGCACAACTGCGTGGTTGTCCACAAGAGAAACACCTTTTTTCTTGGCTTACGGTTTGGAAGCTGTTATTCCAGCAGAAGTGACGGTCCTCTCGGCGTGGCTCTAGTGGATGAATGAAGATACCAACGAACAACAACTCTGTAACAACCTTGACATCGCTGATGAACTAAGGGATTAAGCCCTTCTCCGCAATGCCATATGCTAGCAAAAAATGGCTCGGCATTGCAACAAGCATGTCCGAGCTAGAGTCTTTAAAGTCAGCGACTGGGTCCTGTGCCAAGTATTACAGAACACAAAAGTGTTAGGAGAGAGCAAACTCAACCCCACATGGGAAGGCCCGTACGAAATCACCAAGGTTGTCAGGAAATGAGCCTATCAACTGCAAACACCGAAAGGCAAGAACATCACTAATAGTTGGAACACCACCCATTTAAAGGCTTACCATTTCTGATACTACTCGGCTCGACTCTATCATCTGTAGCACCTAGGAATTTTTACAGTGGGGGATAGGGTGGGCCTGTCCACTCCCCCTAGTTCTGTTAAGACAATTTTTCTCCAATTAATATTGTTTTTTATCATTCAATAAATCGAGGTATTATTCAGTCATACAAATTTTTTTAAGCTCCAGTATTTTCGCTCTTAAGCTCCCAGCAAATTTTGATGGCGTTCAGACATTTTAACCTGAAGGGCACTCTCCGCAGGTCTACCAAGATTGTCAGTGGCTCATATCATAAGATTCTGTTTTTACAAGATTAATTGAAAATTTTACCGTTTACAGCTATCAAGATATTTGTGATAGAAAATTGAAATATGTTGTTTGAGTTATAGTGTGAATAGAGTGATTTGTCTATTTTATTAAAGATGGAAAGGAAAAAAAAAAAAAAAAAATCAATGTCCATGGAACTATCAAGATGATTCCACTAAAGTTCCACCACAAATGAAGGAATTTGATTAAAAACCGCCATATGGAAAGGCTAGCATGAAAGTGACAAATAATAGCGACAAATCATAAGCACTTCATTCTCATTGTCTATCATTTTGAATTTGTTGGTTTTGCCAAACATAAACAGTGAATATGAACAAGACGCATGAAATCGCATAATTAATTAGTTCTCTCAGTTTATTTTCACGAAGTTTGGTGAAGAGTTGTTTTTTATTTCTTAGAAGTTGTAGAATTGGACGAGAGTTTCACTTTTAAATTCAAGTTTCTACAATAAGTTTAATGATTAATGGCAGATTATGATGTATGTTAGGCCATTGGTTGGTTTATGAAATAGGTTATAGGTATACATATATTGATTGAGATTATTTAATCAATCTTGAAAAGTTTACGGTGTCGTTTAAAGAATATTATATATAACAAAATCAATCAAGTTCATTATTAATTTAACTTTAAGAGAAATAATTATATATGTCAAAGTTTGTCTCCAATAAGTTTTTTGTTGTTTGATACGTGTCTCCTCTTGATGTGATGAAATTGAAAGCCCCATCAATTTAAAAATATATAATTATAGGATAAGTTATTAGTATTAATTATTAAATGGTAGCAAACTAGTTCATCTATTATATATAATATAAGATGGATGATCAACTAGTTGAAACCAGTATTTATTTATAAATATCTCCATTTATTGTTGAGCCAAAAATAATTAAAATCTGATGGAAAAATAATTAATAAACATCAATGAAATCTATCTATTATTGAATACCACTGTTACGAGGACAATAATCCCTTTTGGTATGACCCAGTTATGATTTTGTGAATTCATTTTTGTCTATGTGCAATTCAATAATCATGCAGTAAATAACCTATGAAATTAATCTATACATTATTTGTCATGAGGTTATATATATATATTCTTCAGAAAACTTTTCGGGGAAGCCATGGTACCTGTGAATTAAACAGTGCTGTTGAAGCTCACTTATAACCTCTTATCTTACATTATATTATATATAGAAGTAATTAATTTCTCATTTTCGATAAAGGGTAGTGTGTTTGAGAGTGCTTTTAGCATCACTAAGAAAGCTTTTATATAATTATTAAAAACACTTATCAGATTAAACACTTTTTAGAGAAGCAAGCACATGATACTGATCAATGCTTTTATGAAAATGCTTTCAAATTTCATTACTTTTCAAGTTGTATGTGATCATCATCTAGAATTAACAATATATAGTTTCAGTTTCTTCTGACAAAGTAATCTATCATGCATATTACAACCATACATATCATCAGTACTTCTCGTAGAGGGTGTCCTTGATCCTTATATATATATATATAATAATAATAATAATAATAATAATAATAATAAAGCAAGAAACAAAAACTATGCCTCGCATGCATCTTACATATATTCGAAAAATTATTATGTATATAATTGTTTGCTTCTAGTCTCAACTATCTGTCATGAAAATGTCACTTAGAAATATTCAAGAAACTAAATGGTCACCACTAAAAAGAACAACTGGGTGATGGGTATCATCTAAATCAGGTAGGGTTACTGTAAACAATATTAAGGGTAGATTTTGATGGTTTCTCAAAGAGGGGTTGTTCGATTTTTTTGGATAAACAGAAGAAATTATTATGTGTATAATTAGAACAAGAAAAGAAAGGGAAATTTGATTATAACGTTAAAAGAACATAAAAGCTCATCAGATCCAACACTTAATTTTTTTTTTTTTTTTTTAATAAAAAACTAATGGAGAAGAAAAGATTAAAACACATTGGACTACTCTTTCATGGTCGCACCAAGTCTTTTGCTTCTAGGATCTGAAATGTAGTCATCTAAAATCAATGATAACATGGCTAAAACTCTTTGTCAATCTCTTCATTCACTTATGAACAAGAAAAAAACATTATTTGACCGTGATTATTAACTCCTAAAACAGGAGCAAAAATCATCCCGTATCGATTGGTGTTGTAGGTGGAATCGAATACGACCAAATCCCCATAAAACTTGTAAGTGCAACGAGATACTGCATCAGCCCAAAAATTCTTCACGCTCTACCCTTATGGTGAAAGTGAAAGAACAATTCTTCTCTTGCTAAGCTTGACATTTCTGCATCATGTCCTTTTATACCATTTCTCAAATCTCTTTTTGTGTGCATCTGATATTTTCTATTCCCCCAGCTTCCGATTCAAGGATGCTAAATTGCTGATGCATAGGCAAATTTGCTGTTGAAAATTTCTGAGTCGTCAAAGCTTTTTGGCAGCTGAAACATTACGGTGAGATATTAATAGATGCATTTTTCTTGGGGTTGTCAAGGAATGGTTATGAGTTTCTACAAATATACTAACAGCATAATTCCCAGATTTTGTCCACACCACAACAAGCTTTGCATTACAACCCTCTCTGACTATCCGCCGACGTCTCTTTTTTTCACTAACTTTTCCTTAAAGCACACATACTCCATCCTTACTACGACATTCGTCTCTTTGTTCTCTTACTTGAATTAATTCTAACGTTAAACCCAACCTCCTTAGCATATCTATTGTAAAAATCATTTACAGCATCTAATGATAGAAATTCTTGACCTACTTTTGGCTTCCGTTCATGTGATACTTCAGGTACATAAGTATTATCTATAGAACTCAATAATGGTTGGTCAATTCCTTTGCCAAAATCTTTTTCTTCCATGTCTCAAAACTGTAAAAACAATATATGTACCAAAAAAAAAATATTAACTAAAAAATATTAATATCAAGGTATAAGTAACAGGGAATTAAAAAAACTAAACATATTTGATTTTACCTACAAGGCTACAACTTAACAGAACAACCAAGTACTTAATACAACCAACATGTATCCTTAAGTTTACATAGTAACCGAATAAAATATTCTTTGAAACTAGTAAAACTTAAAACTTCAAATCAACTTTGATGCATTCAATTTAGTCTTAAGAAAAGTATATATTAGAATTTAAGTCATATCAATCTACTACTTATTTCTAATTAATTCATATTTCTAAACAAGTATAATTGGTAGAATAAAAAAAAAAAAAAACTTGTAAAAAAGAATTCAAAAATATTCAAAGAAATTTACAAATATAAATAAAACACATTAAACCTTAACCCAAATTTTATAGCATAAACCAACAAAGTATTCAACAATAGAAAAAAAATAAAAAATTAATCTGTACAATGTAATTTTACATATTGTATTATATTAAAATGTAATTTTATTTACATGACATGACATTGCACTGGTCACTAATGAGTAAAATGTAATTTTCATAGACCCTAATAAGATTTTAAATGACATGACATTAATTACATTGGGTCCTACTAGTGAGTAATTTTCTTGCGATTTTACATTGTATATTGGAATAAAATGTAATTTTACATAGCTCCTAATGAAATATTACATGACATAACTACGCATCTCCCATTAAGAGGTGTCTTGAGAAGAGATGGACTATATATATATAAGGGTTAATTGGATACACCAAAACTTTTGTTCATTGCATAAAGTATGTATTTGAATGCTTCTGGGCAGCCTGCCGGTAAGAGCTAGATGCTAATTAGGAGAATAATTAGCATTCCCAAAAGGGCAATAAGAGTACCTTACGAGAAACAAATTCCCTTTTGTTTTGCCAGAACATTTAATATAAAGTTCAATATATATATTACAAGAATGACAATTTAGTATCGCTATTACTTCCATACAACTCATTACAATACACAAATTAAACAAGATATCAAACTGAAAACAGAAAATATTAATGATCTAGATGCATCAAAGTTCAACAGATCCATTGCATATATATATGTTCAGTTTAATAAACATTTATCAATGGAGGTGTCTTGTTATTTGATAACCAAAAACTCTTGTTATAATCAATAATAATCCATTCATTATTTATATATAATTAGTTATAGAAAGAAAATGAATTATAAGATTGACTATATAAATATATCAGTCTTTTAATAAAAATCTTCACTCTGTAATTAAATAAACCTAACAATGAATTAATGTTATTACAATAAGTTAAGCTGGAAAGCCGAAGAGTGAAGACACAAATGACGAAATTAACTACAAACAAGTTATTGTGTTCCTGCTGTGTCTTCTACCTGCAGCTTTCACACCCTCGAAAACAGTATGAAACCTATAGTTTGATGAGGATTCCAATTAGATATTGAAACATCATAACAGATTTGCCATTATCTGTATTGGGAACACCAATATAAAATAACCCCTGAAGATTTGTCTAACCAGCATGTCTTTCTTGTGTCTTGGGAATTTGTTTTATATGATAATTCTAGATACAAATAACAAAGTGAAGACAAAAAATATATATTTGAAGGCTGCAGAGTTATAAAGAACATCGTTTACCTGACATCAATTTTTGCTATTAATATAATTGGAATGGTATATATTGATGGAAATTAATAACTTAAAATTCATCAAGGTTTGATTTGGACAGGCAGATGTGTACATGTAAATATATCTTCATGTCTATATGCATGTATGAATGTATCATCATGTATACATATGAACTTATGTATATAAAATTAGCTGCATGTATCCACATATAGATAGAAGAATGTACAAGTGTTGAATGAAGAAATTAATTAATCAGATTTTACCAAGAAAATTGTTTAATATTCAGAGGAATTAAGCAATAATTTCATAGAAGGCAAAGAAATTGAAGTAATGAAATAGCAATCAGTAAGTATAGAAGAATTACCTGGAATGTTGAAGCTGTTGCCTTTGTATAGTTGAGACACAGTACTGAACTTAATTAGAAATTAAGTCTTATTAAAGATTATATATCTTCCAATATTGTTGGTGAATGAGTAATTGAAGCTGCAAGATGACCTGATGGAACTGTTATCTATGAGGCTTAATAACTAATTAATTTGCTAGGTCTACAGTCACTATATCACAACAAAACATTTACCATAAAAATAAAATTGATTCTTTCTTTCTTCCCAATTTCAAGAGAGAACAAAAAAAAAAAATTGCTTTTGAAAATCAATCCATTATGGATCTAAAAGGGTAAACAAAAACAAAAACAAAAATAAAAATAAAGAATCTAAAACTGGAAATAATATGTACAAAATAAGAATCAGTCTATCAGTTTATCAATATATATATATACACATAGAGCGACAGGTAATTTTTTACCAGATCATGCTGGCAGCTTCAATCTCTCAAACCAACATGTAACCGAACAAGAAGAAAAAAAGAAAATATATGGTGAGTCAGGCTTGGGTTTTGTTGAAAATCAAGCAGGCCCTTTGAAGGAAGAACACATCTTCAGAAAGATTGACAAAAAAGAATGAAGCTAAGCAGGAGGGCAAGCATGTTTTAGGTAGTTTATAAGAGAGACTACTGATGACTATTTCTCTTATATGTATAAATGCAACCACTCTCTCTTGTTCCTCCTGTTCTTCTTCTTCTTATTGAAGTACTGTGTCATAGAGAGCTGGGGAGAGAATTAATTTAATGGTGGCTTTTGGTCCTTCCTTACAGCTATTGACAATGACATATTTTCTCTCTCTTTCTTCATATTTTACATGACTAACACATAAATGGCAAGACTATGGGGACCAGTAGGTCCGCTTCATAAAATAAAAAATATATATAATCTTAGCTTAACTCCAGTTAAATGATAATTACTAGTACTACTGTTAATTAAATCTCAGTAAATATTAAAAATGCATCATATAGTCAACTTCTTAAAGTGTTTCTAATGCAAAGTTAACTGAGAATATAAATATATATAAATTATAAATTATAATACAATAATATATTAATATATATTAGGTGACTTTGGTGACTTTTGCTCTCCAAATCTATCATGAAAATTGATCAAAATTACTTTTGAAAAAGTTTTTTTGATACATTGGTTTATATAACAGCTGGGAAATTAATTTACAGCTGCAGATATAGAAGATATTTCCTTCTGATAGTGTTTGCTGTCAATATTACATGCAAAAACTAGCTATTTAAGTTTTTGACCTGAATTAGGGTTTTTTATTTTTTCTTCAAGATTTCCTTAAATGAATATAGAAATGCAAGATATTAGCATTACTGTGATGATAAATGGAGGCGTTTCTAGAGTTAAAATCTGAGATTATGTTGTGGATCAAATAGAAAAAGGGTGGTTGGCATGTGCTTAGTGAGCTGCATTGTCCCTACAGCAAAACTAATTCAATAAATATGGCTTCATTATTTATAAGAAGAGCGTGAATCGATATCGGCCAGGTTGGTGGAATCAGTTGAGGCCAATCTCCATTTGTCTTTAGCTTTGGGTGGTTCTTCTGTCTTTGGTTGACAAATAGTGACATATAGACATGTCGTAATGGAAGGGAAGGGAAGGACCACAACTTTATAATACTTTGATTACTGGATAGAATCACATGGTTTGCTTTGTAATTTAGCTCTATAAGAGTTGAATTAATCTTCATTTCATTAAGGACGGTGTGGTGGTAGTTGAGAGTAAAGCAATCAAAGTGTTATCTTTGCAAAATGTATATGGGGTTTTCTTCTTTTAATTTCCATTGTTTTTCATTAATTTGGGCCCTACTTATACATGTTTGATTGGTCACTTATATATGTTTAGGGTTTTTAAAATGCCCTTCCTTGTTGTCCCACAGTAATCATAAATTACTACTATTTCAAGGTGGCACAAACTAATTTAGAGGATTCCATCAATTATTTCTTATCGCCTATTGATTTGCATAAACCAAAAGGAAAGTAACTAACGTGAGTAAAAATGATTTTTTTTTTTCTAGTTAATTGTGATGGAGAAATTAATCAAGGCCATGATTAGTGGCTGCAGTGTTTTTCATCTCTCTTCCTACAGGTAAACAAAATGGTAGTTGAATTTGAATCTTTATTTTGATTTAAATGCTTCACATTTTGTATATGAAGAAAATGATAGAAATTAATTACCAATTGTTTATAATCAACGGGTATTCTTATTTATAATCAATTGCTTTTAGGAATTTACAGTGAAGTATTCCACGAACTTGAAATTCAATTTTCCAAGTTAATAATGAAAACAAATGAAGGAATATGATATCACATGGGAACAATAGGGTTGCCAACTGGTGGCTTTTGGCTTATCTTCCATTGACATTTTATTCATTGGAAAATGTATTTGTAGGTTGTCTTATCTGCCTGCCTCAATTGCTATGTTATATACATACCATGTCCATTGTTAACCTTTAATATATTATTGTGTAAAATTAATACGATCAACCTAGCTCCATTGTCCATGGAATCTTTTGCTTTCCTGTATTGGAAAGTGACAACAAGCGATTAATTAATGTCACTAATAAACGGTATTACAATGACCAAAGACTTGGGAGCTCGAGATTTGAATTAAAAGTTAATGATTTCAATTTACAAGGAATATTTTCATCACCCTTAAGCTTTACATTTGAAATCTTATTATTCTGAGCGATAAGTTTTAGGAAATTATAGTCAAAGCAATGCTCATAATGAGATCGCAAAAGAGTAAACAAAAAATACATAAAGAAAAGAGGACTTGCATAAAATCATAAACTCATTCTCTGCGAGTATTTAAGCCTTAATTTTATCGAATTAACTGTATTAATTTTATGCTGATCACAATTTGATTCCAGAGAATACAATAAAACTTGGATATTATTGTTTTATAAGAGGTATATTTTCTCAAGTAAATCACAGGTATAGCAAGAATATTCCCTCTTCCATTTTGTTAGAGATATTACATTTCTCATAGAAGAGGTCATTACCTATTAATATTATTCACGACCAACTATAAATATATAGTTACAGAATATGTTCTTATGATCTTTTGGGTTAATTTCTACTCTTTAGTTTGAAAGATATATTTCAAAAAATTTGTCAAAGAAATAGTATATTATTAGAAGATGAGAAGGTCAATAGAATTTACTTAACTACAATAATTAATTGATAGGTTTAAAGCCAATTCAAAAGCTTGTCCCCTTTTTCAAATCTCATGGTTTGAATTTTACATAATCACACCGGTAATTGCGCAAAAGTAGCCTAACATTAATTGAAACATCAGAAATTAATTAAACATGTGGAGGTCAATGCAAGTGGGAAATGGGTTTTGTAAATATTAATATGAATTATGGTCATTAATTAAACAAACAACTTGTTGGGGTCCATGTAATGTGATTATGTTTCTATGTTTCCCATGTTGATCATGTTATAATTAAGCTTAATATCACCACCATGGCAAACATGTTTTACTTCAATTCCATGTATAAGATAATGATTAAGATGCATTAACAAGACTGATAATGATTTTATCCTATCCGCCTTTCATCCCACGACGCGTGTCTCTCCTCTGTAACATGTTTAATTTTGTGGCATTTTCTTTCTATGATTCGTCAACATTATTTTTTAACCATTTTCTAGTGCTCTACACTCTGCTCATTTTCCAAGTTTCAGGTCCCTTTATCTTTTGATGGTGATATATTTGGTTTATTAGATTTTCTTGACAAAACAAATCTATCTATCCATCTATTAAAATTTTCTTAAAAATGGTTTTAATGCTACCATAAATGTAAATATTAATTATTTTTAAAGAATTAATTAAATATTTTGAGGATGTATGATCATGAGTTGACACGCAATAGAAAGTCAGGAAAATTGGTGACAGAGTAACCCTATCGATTCGTTTTCTTTCCTATTTGGGATATTAGCCCTTTTGGGGCCAAGATTGATTGAAATTGCCCAAAAATTTAGAGGATAAAGTGCGCAATTAGATTCCATGCCCAAGAAACAAAATCTTTCATTTCTCAATTAAAATAATTTATGGTTGACTTTATTTTTATTTTGATATTGCCAATCCATTATAATAAAGTAATTTGTCATCTATCAATTTCAGCCACTTATGTATAATTGAGATTCTTTTATAATACCAAATTACCAATAAATTTCTGTGGCCATACAGAATAATTAATTGGAGCCAAAACAGAACAAATTTGCCAACTATTAGTTGTCCCTCATAGAAATAAATGGCATTTAATCATACGATAATATATTTTTCAAGCAATGAAATTTGATTATTTTAACAAGATAAATCCCCTAGGCTTTGGTGAGATGTCAAATTCTCTTGATTAATGGTGACTAATGACTGACGAGCTAAACTTCCTCTTTTTATTTTATTTTCTTTTTCTTTTTCTTTTAATTTCCGGAGTTGAACGGATGGACTGTCCAATTCATTTTTCCCTTTTATCTCATTTTACACTCAACAAAATTATTATTAATGAATAAAGATAGGTTGACAAACAATTTTTATAAACTTCTCTCACTAACACCGACGTGATAACTTGTAATTGGTCGGTTCACATTTGATTAGACAGATCCATTGTTGGACAGACAAACTAATTATGAAGTGATACATTGCTTTTATAAGAAAAAATTAGTGAAAAGGATTTGTGAGTGTAAATTAATTGTCGACTTACCCCAAAGCCTATTATGATTGACTGTGCTAACCAAAACCTAGGGGCCAGTTTTGATTGAAATGAAAGTGAGTGATGTTATTTAAGAAGCCTTACTAAATTTCTTTTTTAAGTCCCAATACCAATAATACTTAAACTGTGATCCAATAGATTTTGTCAACCACCAAACCAATCTAATGTTAATCGCTTTGGAGAGTTTTCAATCCAATTTTCCTTAGAACAGACTGATCGGTTTGATTGGATTAATATGTATGCGACTTACCATATTCAAGAGACCGATACAAAATATAATAACTCTTAAGCTTAAACATAATGTCATCGCTCACTGGCCGACCAAAAGCAAAGCCTAAATATCCAGCTTTTCACTCAGAAAACAAGCAATTATGTCCTACATCCCTAAAACATACTTTAGAACAATGTTTTATGGCTCACAATATATCTTAACTACAACAAAGATGGTAATTTGTTTCTTTTCAGCTAATAGTATCATTCTTACCAACTTTATTGCTGGGAACAGCCGAAAGTTACTCATTAACTTATGAAGTTATCAGAATAATTATCAATGGTCCTCACTCACAATAAGAGACCATCAACAATAGATTTCATTCATTACCACTTGCTTCCTCAGATGCACTCCCTGCATCTGCATAAATATGGGAGGAAAACAAAAGATAATTTACTTTTTCCTTTTTGAAAATGAAATCATCTGTATTCAACATTATGACAAGCAGCTAGCAAGTGATGCATACCTTCACCAACAGAAGGAGCATAAGGAGACTTTCTATATCGTGTTTGCTGTTGTGTGGGCTGAAACAAGACAAATATAAAGCTTCATAAGCAATCATGTAGAGAAGTAATCTGTTTCATACTTTAAAGAAAGAAAGTTCATCATAAACAAGAAAAGAGCATAACAGTTGTTGAAGTACAATTAAATAAAACGAGCCACTGTTGTCTGAATTCCACAACATACTAATTATCATCTTAAGCATTACCAACAAAAGCCTCGAATTCAAAGGAGATTGGAAACATGCCAAGCATGAAAATTGAAATATTTTATTAGAAGAACATAGACTGACATTATGTGAATACATTTTATTCTATATTTTTACTAAAAATGATTTTGGTTGAAAATTTGAAACCTATGTCTACACATATAAACACAAACTAGACAAAAACTAACCAACTTTTTGTAAGGGTCTGGACTGCTCAGATTATTGGTTCCCAACAACTTTGAGCATATGCTCAATATGACTTGCACGCTTTAAAATACTTGATTCCAAAGAAACCCAGAGCTTGTCCATAATTCTCTTTCTAAAAACTGAAATGAGTTCAATAGCAAGATTACTCACTTTCCATTTAAAGCATCCACTATAGTAGAAAGCGAACTTTTTATTTTTTAGCTCCTTCATTAGAATACAAATATATTTGAAAATATGTCCTTGATTTACTAAAGGAGACTAGAAATGATTAGCTGTATACCATCAGACACACACATTGAGGTCTATCATAGAGGGAAATCCTGTAGAAGAAGGTACTAGAAGTTGGTAGGCAAATTGATCTAAATATCCCATACAACACCAAATATAGTCTATGTAGTAAGTGTGGTATGTTAATTTATGCACTCAGCACTTGAATGCCACACATGAAAGCAGTTCAAAGAATTTTCAGGCATTCAAAAAGCTACTCCTGGGAAACACCTTGTGTTCTCTAGAGTGGTCATCTCCAAGTAAAATCCTAACCATGTAGAAGAAAGTGCATTTGTATGTTTGCATTTTTCTTTGACGAAATCAACAAAGGAGAAATAATTCCTACAATCTTCTCTTCTTTTATTAGTACAATATACTAGTTCCTTAAAATTATTTATATACTTTGAGATTGAGATTAGCAATAATCAATTTTAGCTAGATGACTGACATTAATCAGCAGTAGGCTGAAAGTAGCAAACTTAGTTCCTTATTCACATTCCATTCTAGTATTCTGGGACAGAGTACAAGTAACTCACTGCCAATTTGCAACAGTAAAAGTATCATCTTTTGGTATCATCTTTCAACATATGTAAACCAATCAACTACTTCATTGCTCTGGATTGTCTAGAGAAAAAACTAATGTCATCAAATATTCATTTAAACGTTGAAGTCATAACCCAATACCTGCAATTTTGGCCGAAGGGCTTCAAGTGGTCCTTTTGGCTTCGAACCACCTTGCTGCTATTCGAAAGTATTAAAATTATCAGGCAACTAACTTAACGCATAACATCCAGCAAAAACAAGCTAAACATGGACAGGGGAAGAACCAACATAAAGTACCTTTCCAAGTGCCCAATCAGCTGAATCAAAATAAGCGCGCTCATGGTCCTAACACCAAGTTAAATCTTTAGTTAAGAACAACACAACCCAACATCTTTTTCTTAAAATATAAAATAGCAAATTCTTAATAAAAAATCACCTTAGAGATGAGTGGGGGTTTCTTGGGAATGATCCCTCCATACTTTTTTTTAACAACTGCCTCCTACAAAAGCAAAAAGTTAAAATGACACAATCAGGCAACTCGTATCAACAAATTATACCAGCATGCACATTCAAATATTCAACTAAATCAAACATGTAAAGTACAAGATCTAAACAAAACCTCCTCTTGAGACGATGGCATAGACTTCTGAAACTTCTCAGGGGCACTCCCATCCACCATTTCTTGATCTTTTACATCTTCTGTGCCCGACATAATGCCGCCCAAACAAACAGCGAATGAAATTGCACAAGACTTGTTTGTCACAACCACACAAAACTCAGTTATTCATCAATTAAACCATACAAACAATAGGCACCATAATCAAATCATCTCAAGACAAAACTGAGTTGACTTGATACATAATAAGAATAAGCGGATAACCTCCAGAAACGTTAGAACATTCAATCTAATATTCAATACCAGATTAATCCGTAATTGCTAAAAAGAGAGAGAGATCTAAGTGAAGAAAACAATTTAATATTATAAAAAAAGAGGAGTGAATCGTAATTTTCTAACCAGAAGAACAATGCAAAAACAAGATATAGCAAGTTTTTCAACAAATTAAACCACGAAACGAAAAGAAAATGACGGTAAATTTCATTTACCTCGAATAAGATTTGGTACGGTCACAGGGAGATTTCCCGAAATTTGGAAATAAGAAGGTAATGGGATCTTCCTGTAATTAAACAAATGGAATTTTTTTAACAAAGAAGCTGATCTCAAATGAAGCATTCAAGAATTAATAATGAATCAATGACAATTATTATTACAAAACTGCTTCGTACCGTTAAAAAGCACATCAAGATCAAGATCAAGATCGCATAGTTATATTCAAAGAAACAATTGCAAATAAATAAATATGACACATACCCGGTAGGAACCAAATGATTATAAATCAACTAGTGTCAGAAGCCTAGCTAAGAAATAAAAGGAGGTAAAATGGGGTACCTCATTGGATATGATTTTGAGAATAACATAAACAACTAAACGACAAGTCGGTCGTTCAACAAGTGTGAAGCATGAATCCTAATTTGCTTTTGGGTCGGGTCACGGGTTTAGGCATTTGCTTAAATGAAGGGAAATGAAACCATAACATCTCCAATAAAAGAGGCTTCATACAGAGACCAAAGTGAGGGGCAGATTTTCTGAGTCAATAGTATAAAAATAAATAGCATTTTTAAGTTAAAGTTATATTTATTTCATTTCAGAGTTTGTTAAAAGATAATATCGTTACCCATGGGCCATGGAAGCTCTATGATTATAAGACCAGAACATAAAACAATGATAATCTTCAATTAAAGTGGCAAATGTTTGCATATTGAGTTTGAAAAAGGAGTTTAGTTACCATATTGAAGAGACTTATATAAATGAGGTAGCTCCAATTTTTATTGTTTAAATTTTTAAAGCTAGTTTTTAAGAGGAAACTTTAAGGGAAATTAGTTATTAATTAACAACTAAAAGTCTACTAGCATAAGCAAGTATCAACACTGAGTTGGAATTAAAAAATCAAGTATTAGTAAGTCCCACGTATAATTAATTTCAATAAACAAAGCTCCTTACATTGAAGATGTGAAATAACATTTACAAAATTTGGATGCAAGGATCAGTCTTCGATACTTTCTATTTTCGGCCACCCTTGATCAGCCTGTGACTTCACAAACTCAGCCAAAAGCTTAATCTCTTCATCCTGCAAACGTGCTCCAAATGTACATTGTCCCCTTGGTGTGCAATTCTCCCCAAAACCCTGCATCTCTCATCGTTAACCAAGTAAAACACTAATAGGAAAAATGTAAAGTTTAGAAGGAAAACTTACAGGCATTCTTCCTTTGCCAAAGTATTTTACAGGTATATCTCCTTTTAGAAAGAAAACTTACAGGCATTCTTCCTTTGCCAAAGTATGTTACACGGTATATCTCCTCTTCTGTGTCAACTCCATTTCTGCACAGGCAGCTTTTTTGATCACTTCTTGGGGATCATTAGAGACTATGGTTTAGAGAATGCATAGTCACCCAAGTAAGTCCTTAACCCAAATGACCAGTTATTTAGTAGTATTTTTGCAACATCACACCAGTTTTGAGACTTTATTGGTTTATATTTTGAATGTTTGAAAAAAAAAATAAAGTTATTTTTCCTCGTTGCTCGTTATGGTTATATATTTCCCAAAGTTTATTTGTTATGCTTGTATAGATTTTTTCTCATTGATTGAGCTTTATCACAGAATATGTTGAAACGAACAAAGAATCGAGTGAAATTGTGGCTTGTCACCTTTGTAGATCTTTAATAAAGAGGGTTGCACCCTGACAAGAAGAAAGTTATAGATTAGAGAAGAAGCTAAAATGAAGATGATGATTATATGGAATGTATGGGTTGAGAAAGACTCACTGGTTGAATTACGTTTCCGCCTGCATCATGGCATCCAATGCATGCTTGACTGAACAATCTGGCCCCTCTTTGTATATCAATGGTTTGCCCAAGTGATACTGCAAAACGTAAGAAGTTAAGGACACAAGGTAAACACGAATTCTAAACTATAAAAGTCACACACTTCTGGATGTTCGATTACATAAAAGTGTTTGTTTCAATGAACTCTATTTTGGCAAATAAGAAGGACATGATGAAACAGAACTGTTAAATAGACAATAAAAATTAATGATAATTTTATTCCCTTAGTGCACCAAAAAATTCTAAACAAATTCTAGCCAACTTTACAGATAAAATATGATATTCCAGAAAAATTTAAATCATAATTAATTTTTCTTTCCACGGAAAAATGTTTCGGCAACCATTTTTTTTTTAATCAATAGAGGCATCTGCAAATTAGATGAATCAATTAGAAAAGGAATTTCCAGGGTAGAGCAGCAGGTGCAGCTGCTTTTTGCTTCATCATGTGGTATACGATTAAGATAAACTTTCTTTTACGAAAAGCAATAGGTAAAGAGCATAGTGGAAACATGATGATCATCATAAAATGTATTGTTACCAATCAAACTAGTTTGGAACACACCTTATAGAGGAGAAAGAAAAAGTTATACCATCATCAAACTAACTTGTCATTGAAACTAATGTTATTATCAACAGCAACAACAAATAATTCTCATATAAATATTTAGGAGGAAAAAGATACAATATCATGCAAATATGCACCTCTTTTTTCTACGTTTAAATTTGATACCATTAATAAAATTTTCTTATTATTTCTCAAGAAAACATGTAAGACTTGCTGCATATAAATGTGTTCTTCTATCTGCAACATTTCTAGAAATCTCACGATACTCTTCAAAGTGAGCAAGAGGTAGTCATGGATTCAACCAATTGCCATAATAGTATGAAAACCACTTGACACTACAAGCTTGGTCCTTGATGTTGTCTTTATCATTTGCCAACAATGTACCACCCAAACGTAAGAACATGATATTGCATAATTCAGAATTGGTTTATCTTGTGATTCATTGTCATAATTTCTTAAGGTGAAGACTAGAAACACAGCAAATGAGTAAAAAATTTATTTAACATTTTTTTACAGCATAGTTAGAGACTATGTTGAGATGTTGGAGTAATCTAAAAGGATTTTCATTATAAAAAGAAAGGATAATAATATCCTAATGTAGTGAATTAGAGAATGGTGAACATGATGGGTTAATAATGCAATTGTCTTCATTATAATTTCTAATCCAATTTTGATGTGTTTTTGGACATAGATTGCAAATTGATAACCACATTTAAGCATTAAAAACGAAATCATTATTGAACCCGTGAATAGTATGTTTTTTACCTGGATCGTTGACGAGAGGGGACAAGATTACAAGTGCAGCCATTAAAGGTGGAGCCAAGCTCTTCACAAATTTAACTTGTTTATTCAGCAAAGGAGCTGGGTGGCTCTGTATTTCTCCTCCTCCTCCTCCTTTCTCATTTCCCTGTGTTTAGAACCCTTTTAATTTGACATAAATTTCCACAAACAGATAAAAGTAAAGAGAGGGGATAGAGTTAGAGAAGACCTTCACCTTGGTTGCGAGACGAAATTTTGTATTTATACAACAAGATACCATGGAAAGGAGCGGCATTTCTGTTCTTGTACCTGTGAGAGTTGAGAGTCGCACAGTAAGATAAAGTGTTTAACGGAAAATAGCCTGGCTGTGGTACGGCATCTCATATATTTTTGTAACGTCACGGTGACAAATTTATCAATTTCGCAAAAAGCAAGGGAAATTATTGATAATTAGTTAATTTATTATATGACACGTCAAATTTCTATTGGTCAGAGGATAAACTAACTTAAATTTGGGAACAGCGTAAACCTTCTGTTAACTCAATAATTTGGAATAAAATAATAATCCCTTCAATTTCATCTTCTTCACGTTTTGTTTTTAAGAAAGTCTACCAAATCCTCCTAATTATTCAATCTTCTCACTCGACCTGATTACCAAATTTTCATTCTGTCGAATAATATTTTTAATCAACAGAATTTGATTCGCCATGGCCGTCTTATTGGAGGACGTAGTGCAATCAGTGGAGCTATGGCTGAGGCTGATGAGGACGAAACCGCAACCCTACGTTGACCCGAATCTTGACCCGGTTTTGCTCGTTCCAGGTATTGCCGGTTCCATTTTGAAGGCCGTGGATGGTACTAATGGGACAGATGAGCGGGTTTGGGTTCGGATTATTGGGGCCGATTACAAGTTTCGGACGAAGCTTTGGTCAAAATTCGATCCTTCTTCTGGTAAATAGTTTGTCTTATATCTTTTTAAAATCGTTTTTCAATGTTGATTGTGAGTTCAAGTTTATTGTATCCAAATTGAATTAAGAAAAAGCTGAAAAATAGAGGAAAACCATATTTGCTTGTAAATTGAAAGTGCCGGGTGCAAAGTCTAAATGCTGGAACCGTCGAATCACTAGTTGATAGCTATATGATAGAGTAATACTTATGAGATTTATATACACCAAGCCTCATATTTGGTATCCTCCTATCAATTGCTCAGTTTCCCATTACAATAATTTCCAAGTTATGATAGTGGTGCCTGCGCACTTCTTTGCAAATATTTAAAATGCATAAGATTCGTTACTCAAACTCAAATCACCTGAAAGATTGATAGCAACTTATTTCCTCCCCGGAGATGCAAAACTGCTTTGCAGTTGTGTTTTAATCATTTTTACTGTAAATAATGATAACTGTAATAAAAAATAGAACAGTGTAAGGGGTGGTGCCATGTGCCTAGTATGAGTTTAAGCATGTAGTCAAATTGTTTAGATT